AGGCAGCTCCAGGTCTAGCTCCATCTTTCCCTGTTCCTGTCGGGGGCCAGGGAGGAGGGGCGGTGCTCAGAGAGCTGGGGCTCCCGTTCCCCGCAGTCCAGGACCGCCGCCGGCGCCGCCGCCGAGAATCTGTCAGCGGTCTCCATCATCTAGGCCTGCATCTCAGCTTCCCTTTACTTTGCCCTCGTGCTCGTTAGAGCCAGGCCCTCAATCTCTTTTTCATGTGTATTTTCTTTAACCTCGTCCCCTGCTTCTATTTCTCACGCTGTTCTTACCTTAAGAAAACATCTCTCCTTGTCTTTTCCTCTCGTTTAACAGGAGGAACTTAAACAAACAAACAAACAAACAAACAAACAAAAAAAAGGCTCCTGCCCATCCATCTCTAAAAGGCTTAAGTGTTCAAGAAGTCTCCGTCAGAAATTTCCGTCAGTTAACCATTCTCACGTTAAAGTTGCTTTTTCTGAGAACTAGTGTTCAATGTGTTTTTGAAATGACTCACATTGCAGCAATATTGTTTTCTCACATACAATGTATACTTCCGTCCTTTGATGGGTTACTTTACCTTTCATTTTTCTGTATTTCTTAAGTTTTCTAAAGAAATGTTAATATAAATGGAAATACAATAGGTGTTATTTAGAAAGGGAGAGGAAAAAAAATAAGCTGAATGGCAAATAGGACTTTTGCTTTGTTCTTTTACTTGTTCCTTTTATATTATTTCAGACTTCCCTAAGTTTTCTTTAAAAAGCATATTTTAATATAAGTAGGAAATAGAAAAAATTTTGAACAACGGGGGCTTTATGGTAAATAAAACCATTGGAAAGGTGGTTAAAGTAGGAGGTGGGAGAAACAAGCTGTTGGAAGTCACCTCCTGGTAATAGATCTTGACCTGTAATTGTTGGTGGCTCTGTAATTGCTGGAGTCCCACGACTCCAGGAGCCACATCTGTCTTGAGTGTTATTTTTCCTCCTTGGCTTCATGGTGATTCTCATCTTCTTGAGCAGAAGCAGGCATTGGGGCAGAATGCTCTCTGGAAACACCTTAACCTTGCCCAGCAGTTTATTGAGACCCTCTTAACTGCGAATGCCGAGCCCCCAGAAGAGAAAGAGGATGAGAATTATCTTTCGGTCCCGAAATACATCCCGAAACAAGTTACCTACAAGCTCGAGCATATCAACTACGTGTTAAAACGAAGGAGTAGCCAGGTACAGGGATCAGCAAGGTTTGGCCTAAGCCTCTGTTTAGACTAGAATACTGCCATGACTTCCCAATGGAGAGAGTGAAATTTAAACTTCCCCAAAGGCTTTTGTAGGCCAGCCAGGGAATCTGTTTTCTTGTAACTGTTCTTTTCCTCTGAGAGAATGCATTCATTTATTCAGCAAACATTTAGGAAGTGCATAGTTATGTGCAAGGTGCTGTTTTAGGTATAAGTGTTAACCTAAGAAATAGCTCCTGCCCTCCAGGTGCTTACAGTCTAGACAGGGAGATAAGGCATGCATGCAAATAACTATTAGACAGGATGATTACAGTTTTAGCAATTAGACTAATAAGTGCAAAAAAAAAAAAAAAGGAGGCTCACCTGCAATGCTGCAAGGAAATGCATTGCAGTGGCAAAACAGGATTTAAATGTGTATGTCACCTCTACGTGAATGCCCAGGGAATCAGATACACAAAAACATTTAAAAAAAATCACAATTACTTTTATACCTAGAATAAAATATTTTTAAAGAAAATAATCCAAGGTGTTACTGTAGCAATGATCTGACTATAAATTGTTATAAATATCATTGCTGCATTTTCTCACTCTTCTAAGTCACACTGAAGTTTTTCTTTTCAAGGAAACATTTAGTGTTATATAAAAGCCTTTTCATTATACTATAGTAAAACAGAACTTTACATTTATTGAACAGGCAAATAGTGATGTGATGTTGTTTTCTGCTTTCCTTTTCTTCTCACTCTCAGGAAAAACTGATAGACTCTCTTAGTAAAAAAATTAATCAAGTATACAAATTCTGCATCGGAGATAGTGAGGTTGGCAGCCTCAACCCACTCCAAAAGCTGGTAAAAGTAGAGTCTCGCCTGGTGGAACTGAGTGATCTCATTGACGCCATTCCCAAAGAAAATGTGGAGGCAATTGAGAGGATAAAACTAAAAGAACGACGGCAAAAGTACGTCTTATATAAATGTAGTGGATGACTTAATGAGTAGTTGTATTTGTTTGGATTCCACATTTAGCAAGTCTCTATTATATGGCAAAGATAACCACATAGAGACACAGTGGGAGGAACCAAACCTAGCCCTGCCCTCCTCATAGAACTATTTTTTAGTGGGGAAACACATTCACCAAATATTATCTATACTAATAAAAGGGTAATATGCTAATTAGACCAGGTTGACTGGACATCTTCCGGACATCCGACTTCTTTCCAGACAAAGCCACGATGGCAGGGGCTGAGGCAGAGGCGGTTAGGGGTGATCAGGCAGGCAGGGGAGCAAGCAGTTAGGGGTGATCAGGCTGGCAGGGAAGCAAGCATTTAGGGGTGATCAGGCCAGCAGGGGAAGGCAGTTGGGGGCCATCAGGACAGCAGGCAGAGGCAGTTAAGGGCAGAGGCGGTTAAGGGCCATCAGGGAGGCAGGCAGGCAGACAGGTGAGCGGTTAGGAGCCAGCAGTCCCAGATTGTGAGAGGGATGTCCGACTGCTGGTTTAGGCCTGATCCTGCAGGGTAACATGCAAATAGACTGAACAGCAGAACCGGTTGCTATGACGCACACTGATCACCAGGGGGCAGACGCTCAACGCAGGAGCTGTCCTCTGGTGGTCAGTGCACTCCCACAATGGGAGTGTCACTCAGCCACAAGCCAGGCTGATGGCTGGCGAGTGCAGCGGCGGTGGCGGGAGCCTCTCCTGCCTCTGCGGGCCTAAGCCATCAGTCGGACATCCTCCAAGGGCTCCTGGATTGCTAAAGGGCACAGGCCAGGCTGAGGGGATCTCCACGTCCCCCCTGCAGTGCATGAATGTTGTGCACCGGGTCTCTAGTTATGAAATAAATGTGCCATTACCAATGGAACATGAGCACTGAGGAGGAAAGGAACCAGAAGATCAGAAGTTCACCAGATGCAACTTACATTTTATCTGTAAAATAGCAGTAATGACTTATAGAGTTGTTGTGAGGATCATTAATATTAGATATTTTGTTACTGCTTACTATATTACTGGTGCATGTGGGATACTGCTTCCCACATATAAAAATGAAATCCAGAATAGATTAAGGTGATATTGAGAAATTTTATCAAATATAAAGCAAATGTTTAAAAATTTTAAGATAAAGATTACTCCTTCCATTACATGACCTATAATTACACTAATAACACTTGTATCTTTTTTTTAACATATATTTTTTTTATTTCAGAGAGGAATGGAGAGGGAGATAGAAACATCAATCATGAGAATCATTAATTGGGTACCTCTTGCACGCCCCCTACTGGGGATCTAGCCCACAACCCGGGCATGTGCCCTTGACTAGAATCAAAACCTGGGCCCCTTCAGTCTGCAGGCCAACACTCTATCCACTGAGCCAAAACAGCTAGGGCCACTTCTTTTTTTTCAGCAGAAAATAGTTATCCAAGGATAATCACAACTTATTTTCAGTAGTGATACATGAATCTAATTCCAATCGTTTATTGTTCTTATCCAGAGAATTTTAGTTGATTTTCCCCATGGTTTGGAGGCACCTAACATAATATCTGATCTAGTATAAAAGTATTTAATACATGTTAACTCTTAAAATTAAATATGTCCATGAAATAGCTATCACTTATTGCCTATTCTGCATCAAGCATTGGAGTAGAAAGATGGTCTATCAGTGGTTGGCAAACTGCGGCTCTAGGTCATCTAATTTTATCCTCACAACCCGAAAGAAAACAAATTGCATTTGTTGGTCTTAACTTGAGAATACCATTCAAAAAGATTAACTGGAAAATGCATTTTTGCGGTAATTCACTGAAGTACACATTTGTGGCTGGTGTACTTTTCTGTATATTTCAAGAAGACTTAAGGGAGGGTTGGATAACTGGAAGTTAATTCGAGTGGCCATTGTACAGATGAACTGTGACGTGCTGAGTTTGAGTGATGAGAAGGCTTTACTGAGGTGCTTATTTAGACCAAGAGGGGATAGATTTTTACTTCTTCCAAAATGGTGGCATGCAATTTCTTCCCATTTCAACACAAATCGGATGCGTTATTAAGATTTCACCTGAATATTCAAAAGCCATAGTTATGGGTGAAGAGGAATAATTACTTTCATTTAACCTTAATAGAAATATTTAGATTGGTCATTAACTTTCTGTGACTTATAGTTAGAACATTTTCCCCTCTTGACAGGTTTCGTGAAGAGAAAATGAGAGAAAAACAAAAACACCAAGAAGAAAGGCTAAAAGCTGCTCTGGAAAGAGCAGTAGCACAACCAAAGAAAAAGGTTTGTGTTTTGCTATTAATAGGTCCAGCTATAGCTGCTATATCAAAGTGTGAGTGCTTCTGTGGTATAAAGACAAAATATCTAATTCACCGAATTTATCCAGATTAAACTTCAATAGTCTTTCTTGCTCAGCTTCAATTGGTCTCTCTCTGGTTCCTTGTTACTTTTAGAATAATTCAAATTACTGGGTAACAGTTCTCCATTAGGCCTACTTTGCAGTAAAAGAAACCTGTCCCTTCCTTTTTCTTTCCTTCCAGGTTCACGAAACCAGATAATTTTAAAAACTAGTTTTTGAATAGGTAGTACAGGCATATGGTTCAAAGTTCAAAAGATACAAGAGTAGTCAGTGAAAGTTGTCATCCTTAGTTCCCCCTGCCCCAGAAATAATCATTGCTAACAGTTTCATCTGCATTTTTCTGGAAATATCCTATGTATTTGTGTCAATTATTCTTAATGGTAGCTGATAATCTTCTTCCACTTAACAATGGAAATAGTGAAGCCAGAGAATTACATATAAGGGTCTTCTAACCCTCACATTGTAAAAATAATGACATTAATAGTTGGAGTTAAAATTATATCCCCAGTGTCACTTCAGATGTAAAAGACGAATCAGGACTAGAAGCCAAGGTTCTGTATATTGCAAGATCACCTGTAATAAGAAGTTTGGGGTTGGGCAGAGAGCTTACGGTCCGTCTCCGCACCGAGTGTGGAGGGCCTTTTGTTTCCATATGCCACTCTCCCTCCTCTAGCTCTGGGTCTGAAATATATTCTAGGAATCCAATTTCATGGCTATCTACAAAGATAATGTGGAAATTGATTGTTAACACAGTGATAGCTAACCCATAGTGAATGCTTATTGTGCACCTCACAACCAGCCTTTTGAGGTAAGGACTTGAAAAAAGTTCCGAAGTATGGTAATTGTAAATATGTGTATCAAAAGATAATGATTACCTTATTTAAATAAACATTTCATCTTAAAAAGAGTCTGTACCTCTCTAGTTCAGTACTTGTCCTCTACCTCCCGAGAATTAACCATTCATCATTCTCCCACATGTATACACTCCACTAAATCCACAAAATTGAAATTATTTAAAATATCCTTCCTTCTAGACCATGAATGAGTTTTATGACCTCTGTATCTCCATTGCCTAGCACACAGTGGATACTCAACAAATGCTTGTAAACAGACTAAAAATGAGAATGAAAACTAAAACTGGAAGAAAATAGAAAATAAAAATGGTGATCTGATAAACTGACAATGTATGAAAACCTGTGATAGAAGTTCTTACCCAGTTGGGATACTTCATCACGGGAAATTTTCTCAGATAAAAAATTCTGACTTTAGGAAAGGAATTCAGGGGTTCCGTTCCCCTAAGGGCATTTTTGTTGCTATAATTATGGGGAACTCTACTGTCATTTAGTTCACTGGGGCCAGGAATGTCAAACATTCTGCAATGCAAGGGACAGTCTCACATAGGGATAGTGCTCCTTTTAAGACACAATAGAGATGCCCCATCAAATCTCAAGTCCAATAGAATATCATAGTTTTGTCATCTATTTGATACAAATTCAACTGTCAAAGCAAAATCGAAAAGTTTACAGAGGAAAGACTAAAGATGATTTAATTGAGTATATGCCCCAGAGAAAATGAGTAGGTGTGAAACTAAGGATTTCCCCTAAGCCTATGCTGGTGGGAACACCTCCAAGAGCCTCCATTTCACTAATGTTTAAAATCAATCCCTATGTAATTGACTATTTACTATTTTAAGCCTTATTACTCCTTGGAAAAATCAAGTTAATATTAGTATTTTACTTAGACTTCAATAGAAAAAGATTATTCTAAAGAATATTATTATTTCTTTTGTTTCAGCTGGGAAGAAGACTTGTCTGGCGTTCAAAACCGTTATCTGATAGCAAACATCAACTACTTTTAGTCAAGGATACAAGAGTAAAATCAATAGAGGAAGAATATTTTTTCACTTGAATAGAAGCAGTAAGGCCAAAATGTTTTAGGCATATTTTAAAGATTCTGGTTTACAGTAATGGCAATATTCTGCCCCATAGGCTTGCCTATTCAATGTGACGAAGACATGCCCTTGTTCCAAAGGTTATAGGATTGGAAATGGGGAGTTATTTCCTTTTGTTGAAGGCTTTTTATTATCCATTGCCTAAGTATTATTCTAAACATTATACACCTATACTTCGATTTGTCCAAGTTGGGGATACACATCCAAAGTTATTTTATTGATGTAACTATATGGTTAATGACCATTAAACCGCAATAGTGGCATCCTCTGACATGAGACTTTGAGGTTATGTCTCAGAACATAATTGTGAGACTGGTTTTTAATTCATATTAAGGAGTACTGTTCAGAAACTTAATCCTCTTAAATGAACAAACCCAACTGCCTTCAACCTAAATGTCAGTTCACAATTTCTGTTGTGCTGTATATCCACAATCATTTTCATTTTTGTTGTTTCATTTTGGCTGTATGTGTATACTATTTAAGCGTACACTGTTATTTGTCTATTACTAAGTAAAAAAAATATATATATATATATTGATGCAAAGAAAATAGTTCACTGTATACATGTAAAAAATGGCTCAAAAAACTTTAAAAGAAGCAGTTGCTTTTAAAAGGTCTCAGTTAATATATAATTACAAGAAAAGGGCTGTAATTCATCTTCATAAACATTTATAAAGCATATAAATAACTCTTCTTTATAGAAAAAAATAAGAACATTGGGCTTACGAAAGAAAACCAACTTGAATGAAATTGGATAGCTTTTAGAGCCTTCTTTCTGTAAATAATTTTTCAGTTGTTTCAACACTGAGTTTTGCATGTAATAGTTCACAAGTCAAGTTGAAAAAACAAATTTTTATTGTCTAGAAATATATATATAAAAAGAAATTTCCCACAAAAGATGCTATTCTCTCATTTCTCCATCTTCTTCCTCTTCTTCAACACCCCTGATATAAAGGACATTATTACACCTGTAAACAGAAAAACAGTTCATTTTGTTGTTCCAACTGGAAACAATGTAATATCTGATTTACAATTACTAGATTTTTTTCATTACAAAAATACTGACTGCTAAATTTATAATATAGCATTTTTTTCCTTTCTCTTTTTAAAGTTTTACCACTGATTTATTACAAAGCACATGGTACTTATTTTCTCACCATGTGGTTGTTATAAAATGGTATCTTTATGATCTTCCAAAGGGAATGACTAGAATTTGAAGGTATAAAGTTAGTTCTAGAAAATGAGTTTAACTAAAAATCCTAGCAGCAGCCAGACCCAACTACAATTAAAAACCAAGCTCTTTTAATTAAAACCACTAAAAAAGGTTACAGCTAAAACCAGAAAGTTTAATATCAATACTAGAAAAATCTTAAGAATGAACAGCTCCAAAATACTTAAATCTTTGACAAGTTTAACAATTTCAGGCTCTTGAAGTCTAGTTGTAGAATAATTTGGTAAATTAATAGCGTTTTTAAAAAGTAATTCTGAAACTGAGGCATTAAATTAGTTTTTTTAAACAGGTTATTTCTAATGTTCACCAGTAATTCCTTACATACACTACTACTGTTTTGTTACCTTATTAAAACTTCACCCAGGTGTCCAGACAAGGCTCCATCTATGTATTCTTCTGTGTTTGCAAGCTTTAAATAAAAAGAAAATATATTACTGGTACAGAAGGAAAATAGCTAAGACACACCTAATACCGGTGAGAGAACTTGTTAACTGAGACCTTTTTATATCAACTCATATTTATTTATAATTAATATTAGTTTTCTATCACTATTGTAGTACATATGGTTTCACATAAATATTAGGTAAAAGTTAACATTGATGTATGTAGAATATATAGTAAAAATTGTTTCAACATAGTTTTTTAAAAATCTCTCAGTTGTGTAATATTTCTTTCTAGTAGACATTAGAATAACATGTCAAGGAAGGAAATCTCCCAAATTATGAATAAGTTGACTAAAGTTTTCCAAAGCAGAAATTAACTTCTCTTGGAATACTAACTTTATACTATAGTATCATATTGAGGAACCCAATGGATGTACAAAAGTTATGGCTAAAATACTTTCATATTAGTCATCAACCAAACCAAAGACTTGAAGAATTTTTTTTAATTACGTGCTAAAAAACAGGAAAACATGTTCTTAAAAAGGAGGTTAGACAATAGCGTAACCTTACAAGCTTCCAGTTATAAAGTAATCACTAGGATATAATCTATAGCACAGGGAATATAATATCACAATAACTCTGTATAGTGACAGATGCTTATTAGATTCATCATGATCACTTTGTAGGGCATATATGTGTGTGTGTATATATCTATCTATCTATACACACACACACACACACACACCACACACACATATATGTACATATACATATATATATATATATATGGTGTCCTAAAAAATGTACACACACTTTGAATGATTATAAAGTCAGTATTTATTAACATACAGTTCATTTTCAAAATGAAAAAATCTCCAGACATGAACAATTGTTTTTGTCAACTCCTGTTTTCAAACTGATGACCGTTCTGGTCGTTACTGCTGATAATGCGAAGGAATGGAATAGCAAACACCAAGAATCATTTTGTTGGGTATCTGTGCACCCTTAATTTGCCGACTGTTGCCGGTTTTGTACCATAAACTCTCTTTTATGTATCCCCATAAAAAAGTCTAGTGGATAAATTTTCTTTGTTCAAAGCTTAATTTGGCTTCACTCATTATTTCAAATCAGTTAAACCTGAAAAGGAGTGAAAATTAAGTGAGTTATCAGCTGTTAAAGTGTGTATACATTTTTGGGAGACACACTTTGAAGAATTATAAAGGCAGTGTTTATACTTCAACTACATTTTCAAACTTCCAGTAGCATTTTAGGATGAATATCCTTTGTTCAAAGATTAGTCTGGCTGAAAAGAAACATCAATTGAGCTATCAGACGTTAAGGTGTGTATTACATGTTTTTTGGGACACCCTAGGTAGCTAGATATAAAATCACTATGTTATAAGCCTAAAGCTAAGTATTATATCAACTATACTTTATTTTGATCCAAAACGCCTTAGGAACTGGGATTTGATACTCATTCATAAGTATTTAAATGCAACACTTTCTTTACTATTCTGGCTTGTGGGTTACATACCTACAATGTGATAAAACATTTTATACAGGGATTTGTGGAGACCTGAGGTCTGATATAGCCTTCATGTTTCAACTGTTAAATGTTAAACATTTAAAAGTTTTTATAAAGTAACCTTTATAGTTAGGGAACTATATTACTCTAATTTTAGATCAAAATGTTTAGCTTTCTTCTACATACAGGTAATAAACTTTACTTTTAATTTTTAAAAATAACAATCCATATAATGGGCACTCAATAAATATGTGCTAAGAGGACAAACTCAAAGGCATCATTAACGTAGTTACGTTACTTCAAAACTGGCAAGTTCACTAGGAAGCTATATTACTTTTTAAAAAAATTATTCTTTATTGTTGAAGAAAGTTACATTACTTTTAAAACCAAATATTTGGCGGGTATTCTTTACTCCCTTCTTTTATTGAGATAATAGAGGCCCGGTGCATGAATTCGTGCACTGGTAGGGTCCCTTGGCCTGGCCTGAGGGGATCGGGCTGAAACTGGCTCTCTGACATCCCCCGAGGGGTCCCAGATTGCAAGAGGGCGCAGGCCAGGCCGAGGGACCCCCACCAGTGCACGATCGGGGCCGGGGAGGGACCATGGGAGGGCTCCAAGGTGTGTCCGGCCCATCTCGCCCAGTCCCCAATTGGCTGGACCCCAGCAGCAAGCTAACCTACCATTGGTTAGTGTGTGTCATAGCAACTGGTCGAATGGTGGAACAGTCGGAGGGACAATTAGCATATTAGGCTTTTATATATATATAGATAATTCCCAAAATACAAAATTCACTCTTAAAGTATACAAGTCAGTGGTTTTACCTATATTCATAAAGTTGTGTATATATAACCATCACCACTATCTAAGTGTGGAACATTTTCAACACAAGCGATACACTCTCCAGATTTTTTATGGCCTTGGTAAACGATTACTGCTTAGGGAATTTTCCAGGCCAAATCATGCTCTATATAAATTTTGGGGACATGAGCATCATCTGTTAAGGTAGAAAATAGTATGGCTGTTCCTCAAGAAATTATACAAAGAATTACTGTATGATCTAGCAATTACATTTCTGATATATAACTAAAAACAGACTCAAGCAGATATTTGTACAGCCATGGTCACTGCATTAGTCACACTAGTCAAAATGGGGAAATAATCCAAATGTCCAACAGAAGAATGGATTAAAATGCAGAGTATACATATAATGAAATATTACTTCCATAAAAAGAAATTCTGATACATGCTACACCATGAATGAGCTTTGAAAATATTATGCTATAAGCCAAAAGGACAAGTATTGTAGGATTCCATTTATATGAGGTACCTTTAATAGAGAGACAGAAAGAATAGTATTTACCAAGGGACTGGAGACAGCGGAAATGGGGAATTACTGTATTTTTTAATGGGTACGGAATTTCACTGTGGGATTGAGTCATACACTTGAAAATGGTGAAAGTGGCACATTTTGTTATCACAATTTTTAAAAAGTTCACAGAAATATTCACAGAAGCTAATGTAACAGACATGCAGTCAGTTGACCAATTCATTTGGCTGATATGTCTTTTCCCTCAAGAAATCAGAGTACTGATGTTGTACTTTCAGCATTCATTAAAAACTTAAGAATTTGCCCTAACTGGTTTAGCTTAGTGGATAGAGCATCAGCCTGTGGACTGAAGGGTCCCAGGTTCGATTCCGGTCAAGAGCACATACCAGGATTGTGAGCTCAATCCCCAGTAGGGGGCATGCAGGAGGCAGCCAATCAATGATTCTCTCTCATCATTGACGTTTCCATCTCTCTCTCCCTCTCCCTTCCTCTCTGAAATCAATTTTTTAAAAATTGTTTTTTAAGTAAGAATTTTACTTGAAAAAATTTTTTTCAGAGTTAAGTGCTGAGAAAGGTTTTTTTTTTTCTGCAAATTTGTGTTTTCCCCTTCTGGCAATAGGAATCAAATGTCCAAGCTCCTAGGGTCAAATCTGGGGCTGTATTTTGGTTTAACATATCTCATACGCAGTTCATCACATCCTCCCTGATCTTGGCTTTTTCCCCTGAATTTTTGCTTTATCAATTCAATTAACTGCATTCTCATAAGTCACACTAAACCTTAGAGGAGTAAAGTGAAGAAAAAGAAATGCAATTTAGTGATTTTTATAATTCTTTAGCTTACCTGCATGTTCATATAGCCATCTACAGATACCAGGTAGCCTTTGTACTCCATTCCCCACTTAAGTTTCACCATTACTGGCTTTCCTGTTAATCCGTTGAGGAAAGGTTTGGGATTGAGGGGCAAACTCTGCACAAAGAAGAAAAAAAGAACTCAATTATTTTCCAGAGCTCAGTGCCCGCCACCTACTCTGGTACCAAATCACCAATTTTTATGGTATCACTTTTATTTGTTCAAAAATATTTAAATACCCAGTTAGCCAATTTCCTCTTCAACCATCAAAATGTATACAAGTATTCATTATTTCCTTAGGAAACACTTAATAGCTATTAAACATCACTCACTGTTCCAGGTTACAAAGAAACAAAGGCAAAGGCAGTTTAAAAAAAAATGCAGGGGACAGTCCCTGTCCTCAAGAAGCTCACTCTAGGAGGAAGAAGGGCAAAACACATACAAATAGATTACTGCAAGGTTGTAAGAGGAGATATGCTGTACAAAGGGCGAACCCAATCCAGTGTTAAGAGAAAAGGAAAAGCTGCCTGAAATAAGCAATGCTCCCATTTCAAAGGATGCGATAGATTCCCAGGGGGAAAACAGCAGTTGTAGGCAGAGGAGACTACCTATGGAACAAGCAGGGAAGAATGAAGCAACCAACAATGCAGTGCTGTCAGACTAACTCCCAATATGCGACTACAGAGGGAAGCAGGGGCACTAGACAGTCTTTTGCTCGAATCCTAGGAACGAGGACTGGGTCTTGCTTAACTTCAGTGCCTCTTACATGTGAGCTATCACTTAATGTTTCTTTATTCAGCAAAGGAGTAGTATCCTTAGTAATCACACACTTTTCTCCTCCGCCTGCTCACCCATCAGCCCAAAGAACCAAGAAGCTTAGCTACTAACCCTCCTTTTTATTTTTTAAAAAAGCACATTCAGAGTTACCTAGGGACAAGGGGACTGCTGCAATCACCTCCCAATGAGTCTCCAGTTTCCACTCTTTGTCTTTCTCCAACTTATTATCCACACAGCAACTGTTATTTTTTTTATCATATCATGTTTCTGCTTAAAATGCTTCAATGGCTCCCAATTGCAGTCGGAGTAGAATCCAGACCTCCCCATGTGGCCTGAGAGGTCATAACCACCATTCATGCAAGAAACTGGCTTTCTGTTCATGCCTCCAAGGGGTCGAGCCTTACTTCCGGCCTCAGGGCCAATCAATGCTCCTGTTTCCTGGGCTCGGTACACGCGCCCTCCAGCTCGTTAAGGGGCTGCGTTTCCCGTCATTTAGGTTTCAGGCTAAACCCCTCCCCTTCCGGGGGTGCTCTCCCTGACCGCTCTGCTAAGGTACCAGCGCGCCCCTCCCAGCAGCCTGCTTGCCTCCTCCTTAGCACGGATTATTTGTAATTCTATATGTTTCTGTTGTTGTTTGATTAACGTCTGTCTCCCACGCCCGACAGACTTAACCCAGACCAAGGTCGGCAACAGTGCTTTTCACCTCATCGTCCTACCGCCGAGCACAGCACCTGGCAGGTGGCAGGCACTCGGTAAATATTCGTTAAATGAACAAAGGAATGCTCCGAAGCCTGGGCTCTGTGTTCAGAGCGCGACGCGTCCCAGCAGCATGGAACGGAAGCGGGCTTTCATTTCCAAGTGGGGCGGGAGACACCTCCTCGTCCTCACCTCGACCCTGCGGCCCCAGCCAGCGAGGATATCTCGGGCTCAGATTTGAAAACGAAGCCGAGGGGAAGGGAGCGGGGGCACTCCTGGGCAG